AATCTTGGGGATGTTCTAGGATAGTGGTTTTCCAAAGTGTAAGATGGGTACCAGAGGGGGTGGTACATGGGACATTACATTCAAAATGCAATAAATGCCATAGTGAGGAAGTCAGTTTCTTTTCAAAGCTCTTGTAAGTAATCCTGGTAACTCAGTTCTATGTTGCTAACAGTTGCTCATCTTATCAAAGAAAGAGCAGGTCTCAGAATCACAGATTTTAAAGACAATATTTAGCAAAGTTGTAAGCCTATGTTTATTTTTCATTGTAATTATTTTCATAGATAATTTCTAGCTATGGCAAATGATGCTCTTTCCATGCTAGTAGCCTTGTAGAGTTTTATTTTGAAAATAAGTGTATTTGGATTTTAAGTAAGGCTGTTTAAATAAACTATTATTATAAAAAATAGTTCAGTGGCATATACATGTGGTAAAAATCATGAAGATGTTATAGGAAATGCAGACTTTGGGGGCACAGATCTGGAGATTCTAGACCAAAACTCACATGGTACAATTGAAGAAATGGACCCCTAGAGAGATTCAGTTAAGTGTCCTTGACCTACAAGTTTCCTGAATTGCTGAAACATCATCTACCTCTTGAAACATGCCATGATCTTCCCACCAGCAGGTCAATTTCCATTGTTGTTCTCCTTGTTTTTCCTGGTGGGGCATCAGATATCTCTGACTAGTAAATACAAATTAGAACTAAAGAAACTAGAAATTCTGTTTCCTTCCAGAGCAGTCGTTTTTATGAAATTACTTTAGTTTATTTAGATATTTCCACGCATAGCTGTCAGCAAATTCAAGTATAAAGTGTAGCTGTTACAATAAAAAGGCCATTTGTTGGTGGGAGAGCAGGTAGACTCTAAAAAATTTAACAAATTAAACAGTTTTCCAACATTACTTCTTGAAAGCATAACTATCAGAACAATCTTTTTTTTAACTTGTGATTCATCACTTACATACATATAACACCTAGTGCTCATCAATAACAAGTGTCCTCCTTAACACCCATCACCCATTTATCCCATCCCCCACTCACCTCCCTCCATCAACCCTCAGCTTGTCAGAACAATCTTTTTAAAGGGTTTTGATGTAACTCACCAAGTATGTATCTGGCAATTTATTGCTTTTAGTAGCTAGAGGTGATAATGTGGACTCTAGCCGACATAACATGCCTGTATTTTTCATTCAGCTACAGGAGACCCACAAGATACCCCAGTATTCTGCTCTATTGTAAAGGACATGGTGTTATTTATTAACCGATGTACTTCCTGTGGCTGCTATTTAGGGCTGTTAGATGTACCATCTTCTGGTGTATATGAGTCCAACACTGAATGTCATAAAACAAGATTTATTTTTTGTTAGTACTGGGTTCCCCCAGTACAGTACTTCTGGAAAATGAATGGTTTTAATCTGTTATTTATTTTTATTTGATCTGCAGAGATGCCACAAAAATTCACCAGCCCACCAACATCAGCAGTAGCATGGTTAGGAAAAGAATGGGGCAATCCTGGGCAAGGTAAGCATCTATCATTAGCCTTTTGTTATGCTTTCACAATCTAATTCCATAGAGGCAACTACTACCTTTGGGCATCTGATTCCCAGGCTCTTTCAGTCCCTTCTCCTATTTTGCCCCTTCACCCCAGAGGTGCTGATGTACAGCGAGAGGCGCTATCGTGCATGGGCTCTACAGCCAGTTTACCTACGTTTGAATCCGTGTCTCTTCCATTCTTTGGTATCTATGGAATAAAAGTCAAACTTGTTCAGGGATGTTCATAATCTGGCCTCAGCCTGCCTTTCCAAGCCCTCTGCTACTTTTCCTTAAATAGAACTTTCCATTTCAGCCAAAATAATCTACTGTGATTTCCTTCCTGCACCTACACAATGCATTGGTTTCTTTTCTAACACTGTATTGTTAGTTTTCTCCTTCTCTTTGTAGAAGTGTTAGAAATTTCATTAAAATTCCCTATAGAATTTACAAAATTCCATACAGTGAGACATCCTCATGAAGGAAACCATGTAGACCTGATCTCAACAAGGTGGAGGTGCTGATTGAAGGACTTACGGCTTTCTGGAGAATCCACAAACAACTAAAATGGGTTTATTTGATACTACCAAGCCAACTCAAGACAGAATAGCAACTAATTTTCACTGCCAAAAACGTGCAAACAAGATTTACTTTTTCTAAATTGCCTGCCTTTTCAGCCCACTTACAAATCCTTTCTCCCCTTTGTTCCTTAATTCTGTCAAGGATTCCCTCTTGTGACAGTAATTTATGTAAAAATAACTGAAGGCCCAGTTTTTAAAATAGGCCCAGGAACAATTTTGTTTACATTTACAAATGTTTTATTGACTAATGATTAAAGTCGTCAGAAAAATAAATCCATTTTGTTTTTATATTAAAGAACCCAACTGTTCATTTTATGGAATTTATGTATAAGTACTCTTGCCATTGTTGAATAGCAAAACACTTTTATATTAATCCATTTCCTTCTGTGATGTCCTAATCCACAGCAGGCTACCATTTTTCCAGTGATACAATTCACTTCTGACTCAAAGTCACTTGCATATAAATGATTCAACCAGTATCTATTTATATGGATTTCAGTGCTAGTGAGATACACGTTTCTGCCACATAAGATGGAGATTTTCCCAAAGATTTCTACTAATTTAGATGGTAACCTTCGATGGGTCAGTATCTAGAACTACAGGTCCATATACCTCAAAAATAAGAAATACATTATTTCAGAAGGATCACCAACCAAAATCCCTATTCTTAAGATTTCTGGCTTCCCAAGTTATCTACCTGATCCCTGGGTTATTCCCAGCTCAGTTCTGAGTGGGACTGAACACAGAACCTCTTTACCAATGAGGAGTTAAGGCAGCCCATCAAGTTCTTTAAAAACAAAACTTCCAGCCTATTTCATCTTCCCAAATTACGTAGTCTACAGGGGTTACTAAGCCAAGTGTTAACTATAATGTTTTGTCTATAATAAGCACTTTATATTTATTCTTATATATTAGTTTGCTATTGTTGCTATAACAAAGAACCACAGACTGGTTGGCTTAATCAAATCAACAGCTTTATTTTCTCACGGTTCTGGAGGTCAAAAGTCCAAGATCAATGTTTTTGGAGGTTTTCTTCTGAGCCCTCTCTCCTTGGCTTGCAGATGGCTGCCCTGGGCTCCTTCAGTCTTTCCTCCATGCTTGTGCATCCTTCAGGTCTGCGTGTCCTAATTTCCTCTTATATGGATAGCAGTCAGTTTGGATTAGGACTCACCTTAAAGGACTCATTTTAATTTAATCACCTTTTTAAAGGCTCTCCAAATATACTCACATTCCAAAGTACTGCAGTTAGGGCTTCAACATACAGATTTTGGGAAAAGAGAATCAGCCCCTTAACAGTTTCCTAACAAAAGAGAGCCAAACCGGACACCTGGGTGGCTCAGTTGGTTAAGCGTCTGCCTTTGGCTCAGGTCATGATCCCAGGGTCCTGGGATTGAGCCCCGCATCCGGCTCCTTGCTCAGTGGGAAGTCTGTTTCTCCCTCTACCCCTCCCCACCATCTGTGCTCTCTCTCTGCTCTGTCTCACTCTCTCAAATAAATAAAATCTTAAAAAAAGAAAAAAAAAAGCCAAACTATCATTTATGATGTCTTAAAAGATTTTGGCTCTATCTTTGGGAAAGGTGTTAAATTAGCTTCGGCAGTGTATGAATGAAACTCCTATAGATCACATGAGGTAAAAGAGTCCACATGCAAAGTTTGCCTGGAAATCAGACATTTGTTCATGGGCACCTAGTTTGCTCTATCCTAGTTTTATGCATAATTCTTAAATAGCCCTTCACTCTTGACCCAATAGCATGTGTGTGCAAAAATAAGCATTTATTGTGTTTCAGGCCTTGGACAAAGTATTTTCCACACACAGGAGGTGTGGAAAATTAGTAGGGATGAATTTCCCCAATTTCCAGAGAAGGACACTGGATCTCAGTAATAACTTGCCCCAAATTGTTGAGCCAGAACCAGAGCCCAGCTACTCAGCAGTGTGGTCTCCTGTGTTTTTCTCTGGTGAGACCGGGCAAACCGCAATTCCACTTCTGGGAACATACCAAAAGGTTCAAAGCAGGCACTTGAACGGATATTTTATATATTATACCAATATTAAAAGCAGCATTATTCACAATAGCCAAAAGACAGAAACAACCCAAATATTCACTGGGTGAATGGATCAACAAAACGTGGTAAATACATGCTATGGAATATTATTCAGCTCTAAAAAGGAATGAAATTCTGATACATGTTATAATATGGATGAATCCTGAAGACATGTTAAGTGAAAAAAGGCACTAAAGGACAAATACTGTATGATTCTACTTATATGAGTTACCTAAAACAGTAAAATTCATAGAAACAGAAAGGAGAAAAATGTTTACCTAGAAAAATGGGCTGAAGGAAGAGAGTGGGGAGTCACTATTTATTGGATGATGAAAAAGTTCTAGATAGTAGTGATGGCAGCACAACAGTGTTAATGTTCTTATTGTTACTGATCTGTACGACTTAAAAACGGTTAAAATGGTAAATTTTATGTTGTGTATATTTTACAATAAAAAATGTGGCTAGTGTGAGGAACTGAATTTTTAAGTTTAATTAATTTAAATATGTTTAAAAACCAGTATTTGATTCAGTTATTAGAAAACGTTTAAATATGCTTGAAACATGTATGAAGTTTTGTAATCTCCCACTATGTAAAGAATCTCTTACTTGAAGTAAAGAAAAATAAAATCTCACACATATTTGAAATGCCAACTTTGTTTTCAAACCTGGGGCAACGTTAATACAGCTATTTCCTTTCACTACCAGGAGAAAACTATCACATTTTACACCTAAGCCTAATTTTACATTTGTAATTTATATAGCCTTTAAATAATCTTCATTCTAGATACCTGCAGAAACACAAGTTGTGTTCACAAAGCATATATTAAATCAAAAGTACATGTCAATACCACCAAAATGGTTTTATTTTTTGTCACTGACAACATGCATAACACAGCCAATTGTATCATTACAATTTGTTTTGATTTTGTTAAACAGTACTGAAGTATGCATTAAAAATATGTTTACATTTAACACTTAAAGTTCTCTTTAAGGCGTTAGACATAACGCCTTCTCAATATATTTTCCTGCTTTGTATCAAACATAAATAACTTAATCTACAAAATCATAAATAAAACTATTAACTCTTGTGGCCTAAGAGTATATACCAACTTTGGAGCTTGACAAAAATGTTGTCTTTATGATTTTATGGGTAACAACATGCAGGACTTGCAGTGTTTACTATCAAATAAATGACTTATCACAAGTCGTTACTGTCTCCCAACCGAGTCTGCCAATAATACACCTTCCAGTGTCCTTGGTAAAGATGCTAGGCGCTTACGAAGTCAAAATAATCAAGACTAGATTTTACACCGAAGGTTGTCACTTAATTACTAAGCCTTACTTTGAAGAACAAAATGCTGCTAAAGAGTAAATACTTGTATTATCATTTAAATGGAAGCTAATAAAATCATATTAAAATCCTATCACTCTTGGGAAAAATATTCCATTCAGATTTTGCTACAGGAACGGAATTAACACTATCCTACGTTTTCTAAAATTTAGTTTGAACCATCACTTTGATTAGTTAAAACTTTCAGGGAAAAAATAATGACACACAAAGTGACCTTGGAAAGGAATACTTATAATTCCTGATACAGAACACTTGATTATTTAGTTTTTGTTTAATGACTGGAAATCTTTAGTCCTTCAGAAAACACCGTATTTGTTGACAGATACTTCCTATTTACTGATTTATTAGGTAACCACTCAAACTATTTTTACATAATAAAATTAAAGAATTTTGCATGTTGGAAATATTTCATTATGCATTATTTTTTAGGCCATTTATAGAGTATAAAACTTAGAAAAATATTGTCAATAGTTTCATTAAATTTAAATGGCTCAAATGACAATACTTAGCACTATCATTACTTTTAAAATCTAAGTTTCTAAGTTTTATTTTTCGATCAATACAAAAATGATCTGGTTCATACTGTTAACTGCCAGAAAAACTTTCATGTTTAAAAAACTAAATACTCTTTGTTAAAGAAGAGCAGGTTAAAACAAATGGTTTCTGTGCTCTTATAAAAGAGATTCTATGTTGTAATTCTAAATCAAAATTCACAAATGGTGGCTGAAATTCTGTCAACTTTTAGCCCAATACAACACAAATTCACGGTTATTTTGCATAAACAATTCAAAATTAAATTTTATAATGGAAATGTCAACAAGTCATAACTACTACATTACTTCTGATGGGTTCCACTATACTTCAACCAGGCACAGCAGATGTGCACATCTGATAGACAGACTGCTTAGAAAATTAAAGCTATCAGAGCTATAAATAAGGAATACATAAATATGAACACAGCAATACCAATGCATTAGAGCTGTTAAAAAAAAGATGTGATGTAAACACATCTGATAGTTCTCTCTGTAAGCCATTTTCCACTGATTTATAAAGCTATGGTTTTATAATTCTTTTAAAAAGGAAAATGTTTCTACACTGCTGCATGCAGTAATTTCATTGTACATTCTTGACTACAATGCAATCTTCAAATCCTCTTGAGGAGCTTGACATATCTCATCAGAATTTCTCCAGAAAGTCAGCTTGTCGTATTTTCAGCAGCCTAGAACAAGAAAGTAAGTTTCATTATAATAAAACCACGAAAAAAGAGACACCATGGAGATATATTTGTCAATACGGCATTGCCATTAACAAACAATTCCTCCTCCACATATCCTGAACCACTTTTATCAGGATAATGCAGTGGGGTTTTTACTTTTTGCAGTACATTAGAACTACTTCTTGAACTGACTGCTAGACTAACAGTGGAAAATTGTTAAATCATCTTAAATAATACAGTTAATGTAAAATATACTGCTACTTGAAAAACTGACCCAACAGACCTTATCCACATACTGTACCCACCTTATCCAGTCTTTATTGGTTTGTCTGTTTCTGCACGTTTCATTATAGTGTGAAAAGGGGATTATGAATGAAAAAGACCTTTCTGTTAGAAAGCAGAGGGAAAAAAGGGCAAGAGGGAATAATGAACACATGGCTAATCCTGCTTCACCTATACCACCAACTATTATACTTTCCCTGATTATTTCTGCAGAAATTTCCACGCACCATATAAGTCATCAGTAAATGATTTTGAGACATTTCTTTTTCCTTTTTAACGATTTATTTATTTATTTTAGAGAGAAAGAGGGTGAGTGTGCACACATGCGCTCAGGGAGGGGCAGAGGGAGAGAATCAGGCTCCTTGCTTAGCTTAGTTAGCTTAGTGCAGAGCCAGATGGAGGCTTGACCTCACAACACTGAGATCATGACCTGAGCTGAAATCAAGAGTCAGATGCTTAACTGACTGGGCCACCCAGGTGCCCCTTGATAACATATTTCTAAAAGATAAGGATTTAAACGATTTCTTAATGCCAAATATGAATATGATGATTTTAACTAAGTTTAATTTTAGAAACACACAGTAAACTTTTAAATCATTTACGTTTCAACTTCTTAACTAAAACTTGCTTTTAAGTTTAGTCTAAGTTCAGAGGCCTTTCACGAAAATCCCTCAACATGCTGGGAAAATTGTAGTTAACTCAATCTGAAATATTCTCTTTGCAATCAGCAGAACCTACCTTGTTTGTCCATATAGTTGGCTATTCTAATTAGCCTTTCATTTCTTTGGGTTTATTATTCACAAGGATTAGAAACTAGTTTGAAAAAAATCTCCCTTGTTCTAAAAGGTTTCTTATTTATTTCTACCCTTAAAGGTTCTTACATTAGCTTTAGCTGCATACCTTTAGGCACTCTGTCTTCTTCCTAACCCCATTCTCAATATCATTTACTTCAAGGAAGACTTGAAATAATATAAACAATTTTAGAATTTGTAAAAAATTAAAGTACCTTAACTGTAATGCAATTTGTCTAGTCCCATTCCATTTTTATACTAATTTTTGAGGTTCTCCTCCAAGAACAGACAATGGAACAAGTTTTTTCACCTAAATTAAGCAAGCCATCAATCTTGTATAGCATTCCTGTTATATGAATATAGTACTACTCTGTTTGAAAGGACAGCAATGGCATCCTAAAGAGCTCCAGTTACCAGACTGCCATTAGAGACTCCAAAATTTCATAAGCATTGGCCCTGGGAAAAACCAGCTTTAGCAGCCTTGTCTCCCACACTTTGGTGTAAGTTTATTCCCTCCTTCGGGAGGATGGGTGGGGACATAAGACTTATTGAATCCCTTATTTCTCTCCCAACTCCACATTCTACAGCTCCAATGTCCTCATGCCATACAAAATCTTCCTACAGTGAGGAGACACATCACTCCCAAGGTATTAGTGATCATACAGGACAGCTGCAAGAGAAAGGGCAAGGCTTATTAGTGCGAAGTGCATCAATAATAATCCAATTCGAGGCACCTTGGTACTAAAGTAGAAGATACAGGAAGTAGGTTTGCCCAGAATTTCTGAAATCACAATATGTAAATGATTGCTTATAATTAGCCCTGAGGAGGCAATACTAAAGTTCAGTGCTTGGTAGAATCATTCATAAAAATAAAGTCTATTTTACTTGTAAATGCATTCATTAAAAGGTATGGAAACTGAAAAAAAAAATAAAGTCTATTTTTAAAAACTGTGCCTTAATTAACAGTCCTACTTATGCTGTGGGAGATAAAAAAAAAAATGTGACACATCTACTGATGCGAAGAAACTGACCTGTGTGACACACAACCAACTACTTTTACTGTAAATGATTTAAACAATATACAAATCTGTGAGAAAGTAAAAACAATTAATGAAAAATTCTTGCAATTGTCTACATAGTTAACTAAAGAAAAGGAAAAACTGGATGTTTGTAGACCAACAGCTCCTTGCAACATTTCAGGATGTCTTTGATTTATATTTTACACATTCTAAAATAAAGGTAAGTATCATAGAAGGAAATTCTAATCACTAGGATTTCTAGGTAAAGGCAGTAAAACATAACAGGAACAGGTTTTCCTTACTCTATTATTAGTTCTGAAAGAAACAGACAAAAAATAAGAAAGAAATTAAGTAGCAGCAACCACCCAAAAAGGAGAAAACCACCATATGCTTTAAAAGTCTGTAAAGTATGGCCAAGGAAAACCAGGTATGGCTCACTGTGCAACTCAGAGCTAACCAGCTCCCAATCCCAACCCAACAGCAGCAGGTAAGAGAATAAGTAGACTTTATAATCTAAAGAGAAGTAACCTGTGAAAGGTTGTTCTTTAATCCATAAAGTTAAATGTAATATTTTTATTTTTAAAGTGGCATGCTACTATCTAGAATGGTGTTCACCAAATATTGCTGATTATCTCTTGGGTGGTTCTGAATGATTTGTTTCCTTCTTTGTATTTTGATATTTAAATATTTTAAAATTATGAGCATTTAATAAAAATTACATACAGATTTCAAAAATTCCCTTAAAGAAAAAAGTTCTAATTAACATTTTTCTTCTTTGCTAGACACTTTTCAGGATTCTCCTCTCCGCCTAGTTTTAATGAGAAACTGGCATACTGGTTATTGTTTATGGAGAAATATGTTTTAAGAGGCTGTGTGTGTGTGTGTGTGTGTGTCTGATCTTCCATTCAAAGGGCAATGCTTTCTGATTTTGTTTATCTTAAATATTGATTTTGCCTCTATATCTCACTATGGTCCGCTATACTCACTATGGAATAACCAGCATGGTCAAAGCTAAAAAAGCAATTCTATCCTAATACCTTGGGTTTATTTTGCCTAAGAAAGTGCTATGCCAAACACTTGTCAGTTCCTCTTGTACCCCATGGACTAGGTTATTTGTCTCTGGTTCCTTTATGGCACTCAAACTGCATTACAATATGAAACCTTCATGCTCTTTTGTCTCCCTATTCTGTGTCAAATTCCAACATAAACAACAAAAATTCACAGTTGTGGATGATGTTTATTAAGTAAATTCTCTTCCACTAGAATTTCAGAAATTTACTGATCAAAGACTATGATACTGCATTTTATTTTTAACAGCAGGGTTATGAGAGAATACTAAACCAGGGAATGTTCCCATGCTACAGTCCATTAACTCACTTCTAATCACATTTCACCCTTTCTCAAAAAGCAGACTCAGATATTTTTTAGAACTTATTGTAGGTGAAAACTTAGTAGTTAACAACTCTGAAGCCAGAGTCCAAGTTCAAATCTCAGCTCAACTACTTCTCAGTAAGTCCTTGGGAGAAGCTGGCCACCATAAGCTTCAGTTTCCTTAGCAGTAAACTACTAACAGCAGTGTCCCTCCCCCTGCTCCTGCATGCAGCTGCAGGCACTCTTACTCTCACTCAAATAAAGTCTTTTTTTCTTTTCTTTCTTTTTTTTTTAAAGATTTTTTTTTTAAAGATTTTATTTATTTGACAGAGAGAGAGATAGTGAGAGCAGGAACACAAGCAGGGGGAGTGGAAGAAGGCGAAGCAGGCTTCCAGCTGAGCAGGGAGCCCGATGCAGGGCTCGATCCCAGGACCCTGGGATCATGACCTGAGCCGAAGGCAGACGCTTAACGACTAAGCCACCCAGGCGCCCCTCAAATAAAACAAACAAACAAACGAACCTCACATGATTCTGTTCCTAAATGGAATCTAAAAATAAAAAATGAATAAACAAAAAGCAGAATCAGACCTATAAAAAGAGAAAAAAACTGATGATCTGCAGAGGGGGGAGGGGGATGGACGAAATGGGTAAAGGGGAGAGGGAGAGATAGGCTTCCTTCCTTATGCTGTGACTTATCCATTCTGTAACTGGAATAAAAGTCACAGCATAAGCAACAGTCAGTAATATTTTAATAGTGATGTCACGGGACAGACGGCAGCAAATCTGTTGGGGCAGCTGGTGGCTCAGTCAGTTAAGCGTCTGCCTTCAGCTCAGGTCATGATCTCAGGGTCCTGGGATTGAGCCCTGTGTCAGGCTCCCTGCTCAGTGGGGAGCCTGCTTTTCCCTCTGCCCCTCCTCTCGCTGGCTCTCTCTAATAAATAAATAAAAATCTTAAAAAAGGGGTGCCTGGGTGGCTCAGTCGTTGGGCGTCTGCCTTCAGCTCATGATCCGGGGGTCCTGGGATCGAGCTCCGCATCAGGCTCCCTGCTCGGCCGAGAGCCTGCTTCTCCACTCCCTCTGCTTGTGTTCCCTCTCTGTCTCTCTCGCTGTCAAATAAATAAATAAAAAATCTTAAAAAAAAAAAGTGTAAACCTGTCAAGTCACTAAGTTGTACACCTGAAACTGATATAACACTCGTGTGTGAACTATACTCAAAAAAACAAAAAACACCCTCTCAAACATAATGTTAAATGAAGAACCCAGTAAAGACTGCTGTAAGATTCCAGTTTATATCACATTCAAAAATTTTACAAAATTAAACTGCAGTGTTCGAAGACCCATGTTTAGTCAGTAAAACTGTTAAAAATAAGAAAGCTTCTACCATAAAAATCAGGACAGTAGTTACTGGAAGGGGGAGCAGGAGAGGTTAGTGATAGGGGAGCTCAAGGGAACTTGTAGGGCTCAAGAAATGAGAATTGTACAGATATTCTCTTTATGACAAATTTTTGCTCTGGAAATGTCTTCTGTTTACCTTTTTGTGTTTAAAGTTTTAAAAAATCTCAGAAACAACCCAAATCACTGGAATTTACTAGAGACTGAATAAATTTGAGATGGGTAAATTACATGTATTATATAGTTTTGTTTTCTCAAAGAAAAAAAAAGCTAGAGAAAAGTCACTTTGTTCTTGGACAAGTTTTCAGAGGGACTAACTTGAATATCAGTATCTGTGGTGAGTTACTGTTATACAAACATGGAAATAAAATCACCCAAGATTTTAAATCACTGTACGCAAGTCAGAAAGGGAATATACCTTTCCTGTTCCCAATGTGAGCAACTAAAAGTGGCGAGTTTGTATTTGAAAAAAGGTGGCCCTTGGGCCCAGGGTGGTAGTGCAGCCAACTGGCCTTGGCAATCCCTTCCTCTCAGAGCTGCTGTTTGTCATTCTTCCCTTCTCTTGAAGGAGAAACACATGACCACAGCCAGGGAGGCCTAGTGGCCAGTTTCCTTCCTGCAGAATCCGGAAGTACAGAATCCCAGCCTTCTTTTATTTTGTCTGGGTCCCTTGCAGTCAAGTCTGAGATGGTGGACTATATTTATGAATCATACACCCAATCTCCTCACCAGAGCCACACTTTGGGCTTCCTCTCCAGAGCATACTGTCCGGGTAAGGCTGAGAGTTTTCTAAATCAAGTGCTGGCTCCTTTTCGCTTACCAGTTCCTTGATTTCTCATTCCTCTTACATTTTATTATGAGTAGCAAGCAGAAATCTTGCTCCTGCACTTTCCACACTTTGCTAGGAAATTTCCTCAGCTAAATAACCAAGTTCATCACTTACAAGTTTTATTTTTCTTCCAATAATAAAACATAATTCAGCCAGGTGCTGTCACTTTGTAGCAAGGACAACCTTCCCTCCAGTGTTCAATAATATGTTCCTTATGAGATCTCACCAGAAGCCCCTTTAAAGTCCATTATTTCCAGCAACATTCTGCTCATCATGACACAGGTATTCTCTAGGACAATTAAAGCTTTCTCTACTGCTCTCCTCTCCTTTCTGAGCCCTTACCAGAATTGCCTTCAATGTCTATAGTTCTACCAACACTTTCTTCAAGGAAATCTGGGCCCTATTAAGTTTGTAAAATTTTCCAACTCCTACCCATCACCCAATTCCAAAGCCACTTCATGACTTGTAGGTCTTTGTTACAACAGCACCCATTTTCTAATAGTGAAATCTGTATTAGCTTTCTAGGGCTGCCATTACCAGGTACCATAAACTGGGTGGCTTGAAACAACGGAAATTTATTTTCTCATAGTTCTAAAGGCTTGAAATCCCAAAATCAAGAAGTCAGAAGGCTCTAGCAGAAGATCCTTTCCTCTCCGTAGTTTCTGATGGCTGCCAACAATCCTAGGCCACCACTGCATTCTCTGCCTCCACTGTCACAAGGCAGTGTCTGTGTCTCCACATGGTGTTCTCCTGGTGTTGCTCTGTCCAAATTTCCCTTGTCTTATAAGGACATCAGTCATTAATCCATTATGATCTTATCTTAACCTGATTATACTTATGGATACACAATTTCCAAATAAGGTCACATTCCCAGGTACTGGCCTTGAACTTATCTTTTTTGGGCACAGACACAATTTTACTCACAACACAAGGAAAATTCTAAACACAGCTGGAGACTTCTGAGAAGAGAAAATGTGGTCCATGATAGTAGCAATTTTGTAACTGAACATATGTTACTGAGATCCCGGTTTTCAGAATTTCTGATGGTGACAAAAGCTAGTTTAATCATATTTAAGCAGGATCTTTCACATAAACTCATTAACCATTTTCTAAACAAAAGCATCTTTCTTTAGAATGAACATACAGACCGCTAACCTTTAGTGCTTCAGTGGCCTTGCGAAGTTCTTTAATAACGGACGATAAAGCTTCTGGGTTAATTCCTTGTTCACAAAGCCGTACACAAATAGACAGAGTTTCCATATCTAAGCCAGTATTCAAAATTCTTGAAATTTCCAGCAGAACTGAAAAAGACAGAGAAAACTTCAAAAACAATTACATTAAAAAATGTGTACCCAATACTGTTTTTAATTCATATAATATGCACAGTACCAAAGAACTAGCACAGCATCCCTAGATTTTGAAATTGTCATACAATACTGTCTTGTTCTTACTTAGCCTAGAACCAGAAATACACTTATACCCTCCCTCCACATAACTGCTTTTTATACTTTGATTTATATTCCACCACTCATTCAGTATCTTAAATATATGCATCATAATCAGGATTTTTCAGAACATTTCCCCATTTTTAGTATGCTTTTACAATGTAATTTAGTCTCATAACATCCCATTTTATGAAAACACCATATATTACTTAACTACTCTACTATTTTAAGAGTTAAGTGGGTCTCATGTTTTCCCCACTGAAATAATCCTATGATAAGCATCTGTACATACTAACTTCATTTTATTTCATTAGGATAAATTCCTAAAAGTGGAATTGCTCAGTAATATACATATTTAAGGCTTTAAAAGTACTTAGAAACTTCTACAATTTGACAGGGTAATCATGTCCATTAAAATCTAATAGTAAAAAAATGAAAGCCCATTTTTTAACTTTTTTATAGTACTTCATTTTATTGTGGTTTATAAAAGTAATTGACATAAGAAACACTAGCAAAGAGAAGCACAGAATATAAATACACTGGCTTCATTAAATTTTGTTTTATGGTGGTTGTTTCCCAGAGCATGTTTACAATTTGTTAAAGTCAATGGTCAACATGTTATCTATGGCTTCCTGTATTATTTTCCCTTGGCATTATACTTAGTTATTCCCCATGCAAAGATTATATAACCACCCACCAGTATTCCCTTCCATCACTTCAAAGTTTATTTCCTGCCTGCCTACAAACATTTAAATACTTAACTCCCTGGAGTTTGGGTTGAAGATAGGATCTAACTTTACCTCCCTGAAATAAGCCCATTTCCTCAATACTATTTATTGAGTGATCTCTCCTACTACTCAATTAAGATGCCACCTTTAGGGGCGCCTGGGTGGCTCAGTTGGTTGGGCGACTGCCTTTGGCTCAGGTCATGATCCTGGAGTTCCGGGATCGAGTTCTGCATCGGGCTCCCTGCTCAGCAGGGAGTCTGCTTCTCCCTCTGACCCCTTCCCCCTCTCATGCTCTAGCTTATTCCCTATCTCAATTAAGTAAAATCTTAAAAAAAAAAAAAAAAGATGCCACCTTTATCACATAGTAAATTCCCATTTACCCATTTGTTGCATCTCTTTATCTTATGTCAGAACCACAATTTTAATTACTAACTTTTATCAACATACAGAAGGTTGAAGATTTTGTTATCTTTCCTTTTCATAAGCTCTTTTGCTCTTTCAGTGAACTTAAAAATCTTGATCAAGGAGCACCTGGGTGGCTCAGTTGGTTATGCATCAGACTCTTGATTTAGGTCGGGTTATGATCTCAGGGTTGTGAGATCTAGCGCTGTGTTTCCCCGCTGGGCGTGAAGCCTTAAGATTCTCTTTTTCCTGGGCACCTAGGTGGCTCAGTTGGTTAAGCGACTGCCTTCGGCTCAGGTCATGATCCTGGAGTCCCTGAATCGAGTCCCGCATCGGGCTCCCTGCTCGGCGGAGAGTCTGCTTCTCCCTCTGACACTACCCCCCTCATGTGCTCTCTCTCTCATTCTTTCTGTCTCAAATAAATAAACGAAATCTTTAAAAAAAAAAAAAAGATTCTCTTTTTCCTTCTGCCCCTCCCCCTGCCTCTTTCCCTCTCTAAAAAAATCTTGATCAATTCCAAATACAAATTCCGTTTGGATTCTGACTTGAATTGCATAAAAACTACATTATTTTGGGATGAATGGACAAGTTAACAATATTGAGGGTTACATGAAGTCTAACTCCTTCAAAAAACTAACGTAGTATTCATGATGTTCATGAGATGGGCCCGAAACACCTTTTTGTATCAGACATTCATTTTCATCTCTAGAATTTCAAGGTTTTTTTTTTTAAACGTCTTTCGTGCCTATACTTAACTTTTTGAACACATGGAGTATAGTTTTAATGTCCTTGTTCGCTAATTGAAACATCTGTGTCAGTTTCAGGTCTATTTCAACTGGCTGAATTTTTCTATCCTGGGTTGTATTTTTGAGCTTTGCATATTTAATAACTTTTAATTAGATGCTTGACATTGTAAATTTTACCTTGTTGGTTGCTATTTTTATATTTCTATACATGTTACTTTTAAAAATATTTTTACACATGTTCTTGGGCTTTGCAATGAGATGCAGTTATCTAAAAAGTTTGATCCTTTTGAGTCTTTTAAGATTTATATAGTCAGGATCAGAGCCCTGTTTGGTGTACGGCTAATTGTTCCTCATCACTGAGGTAAGACCCTCGTGAGTGCTCTACTGAATGCCTCGTGAATTATGAAGTTTTCTATTCTGGCTGGTAGATACAAGCCCTATTTTCAGCCTTCTGTGAGCACGGTGTACTGTTCCCTCTAGTTCTTTTGAATGCCTTTCCTAGCTTTGTGGGTACTTTCCTCACACACGTGCTAATCAATGCTCTGAATACTTGAGGGGGACCCTCCTAGTGGTCTCCAGAATTCTCTCTCTGTAAGCTCTTTCCTCTCACATATTCTGTCCTGCAAACTCTACCTGCTTTGGTCTCCCTGGACTCTAAACTCCGTTTGCTAACTTAGGGGGTCCATACTACCCCACAATTGCATTGCGGCTGGGAACTCTCTGAAGGTACCAAGAACAGGCAACTATTGGGCTCTCTTCATTTACTGTCTCTGGGATCACTGTCCTTTACTACCTGATGTCCGTTGTTCTGTCTGGGTTTTGTTTTTTTTTTCTTCCAGGTAGGAGGGTAAATCCAGTTTTTGTTACTCCATCTTGGCTGGAAGCTGACAGCCCTTTCTGTTTCATTTCTTCAGTTCTGATATGCCAACATACCAGTACTGCTCTTCAGTTGTATGCAGGCTGCAGTTCATGTTATCCGCTGAATTTATTTCAATAACTCTATTTTAAGATTTCAAATTCCCCCCATTAATTGCTTGTCCTTATTTCATAGTTAAATGTTTTTTTATAAAAAATGTTTTTTTATAACCACTTATTTTGTGGCTATTGTTTCTGCCCTTACCTATCTGAAGCTATATTCTTATCTTTGGCCAGTTTTGAGATTTGCGTTTCCTGTTTCTTCAAGTATAAGCAAGCATCAAAGGAGAATGGTTAACAGTCTGCTCTCTACAGCTAAAGTACCTGAGTTCAAATTTCACCTTCATTACTTAGTAGGCAAGGTAACCTTTCTTTCTTTTTTTTTTTTTTAAGACTTTATTTATTGTCAGGGAGAAAAAGAGAGAGCAGCAGGCAGAGGGAGAAGCAGGCTCCTGGCTGAGCAGGGAGCCGATGCGGGACTCGATCCCAGGACACTGGGATCATGACATGAGCCGAAAGCAGACACTTAACCAACTGAGCCACGCAGGTGTCCCGCAAAGTAACCTTTCTGTGCCTTTATCACTCTGCAAAATAGGGGTAATAGTACTTACTTTACAGGATCATTGTGAGAATTACAAGACACACTCAGAATGCTGTGTCCATTGGCATCGAGTGCTCAAAAAAAGAGCTATTATTACTATCTTCTCTTTTTTCAATTTTCATGTGAGTTGTTCATGTTTTTCATCTACCCTGGGTACTTAAGTGATTCTGACTGGAAGCTCATCTTCAACAGGAGATTTTTCTTGATGTCTTGAACTGGTGAAGCATCCTTGGATGGGTAGTCTCACACCGGCCTCGGCCCTTTGGAGCAGCCCTAGTGGAAGCATAGTGGCTCCAGAGCCACAGGACACATGGATGATACTTCCCAATCCCTGGCCATGGCAGATGGCACATTCCTGGCCCCCAGCTTCACTCAGGCAGGGCAGCATGCTTCATCAGGTTCCATTCCCAGTCTCTTGCTGTGGTTCCCATCTGCTCCTCTTTGGGGAAAATCTCTTTCTAACCAGGAGATTTTCCTTTCTTGTTTCTGAATATGGCTGTGCTGATAATTGCATTTTAGTATTATTTCCTGTCATTTTTATATGCTTGGAGCAGAAAGTTTTAGCCAAGTGCTCCATCATCATCAATTTTGGTAGTGAATCACCAATCTCTTTAATTTTTAGTTTTGTCTTCATAATTGCATTCAATTTGCTTTGGTATATTCTAGGTGATCAGTGCAAATATTCTAGAATATTACCTATTTTTATTTTGTAGCCAGCCACCTTAACAAATTCTACTGAAGTTTTTCAGTTAATTCTCTTGTTTTCTAGTTAATCATTTTACCTACAAATAATAATTTCATGTCCTTCCTAACAGACTTTCCCTTTTCTTATCCTGCATTATTTGCTTAAACTTTCATATCAGTGGTTAAAAAAAAAAAAATTGAGTGAAAGCAAGTGTTTCTAATTTTACTTGGAATGCTTTTAACACTAGCGTCAAGGATGATGGTAATCTCATATAGCTATCCTTGGTGTGTTAACAATGTACTGTTTTCCTTTGCTGAGACTTTAAAATTAGGGAAAAAGTGCTGTGTCTTATAAATACCTTTCATCAAACACTGAAATAACCAGGCAGCTTTTTCCCTTTGACATAGTGACAGAATACATTATATTGACAGACTATATTCATAGCTGAAGAACAGTGAGCTTGGGAAATCCCTACTTTTATAGTAGCAGTTAGCAAACTTGCTCATTATCTGGAAGTAGATGTTACCTCATCCCTCATGTTGTTCACTGTAAATACACCCCTGAGAAACAGCAGGAAGAAAGAGCAGTCAGGGCCTTGCTTTCTTGGCCTACTGAGCAAGAATGTACAGGTATGCTCAGGGCTCACAGGCTGCATCTCCCAATAGTGACACTGCATGACTTCTGACACTAGACTTAAAAAGGTAATATAGCTTCCTCCTGGCTCTCTCTTGAGGCACTCACCCTTGCAACCGAGCCACCAAGTGGGAAGAAACCCACAT